ATTGCCCAGGGAGGCTGTGGAATCTCCATCTGTGGAGGTATTTAAGAGTAGGTTAGATAAATGTCTATCAGGGATGGTCTAGACAGTATTTGGTCCTGCCATGAGGGCAGGGAACTGGACTCGATGACCGCTCGAGGTCCCTTCCAGTCCTAGTATTCTATATTCTATTCTAAAACTTTTATAGAGGAAACTGTTTGATTGAACATGAGGTGAGAGTATGCAGAGCATGACTGTAGTAATATTTAACTAATGCCCACGGAAAGAATTTAGCCACTAACAAGTATTTCAGTCACACTGTCCTGTCCTCCTTGGCTTTTTTTCAGAGAGCACAAGTTAAAAGGAGGATGCCATACTAGTTTTGTCTCTCTCTTCTTTGTACTAATACATCTTTTATGGAAACACTACATAAATAATTTAGTAATCTACAGCTTTAGGGCAGTTTAGCATACAAAAATACGCTACCAAATTCCTCGCTGTATGTGGCATAGTCCTCCATGACTTACGCTATAATACCCAAAACTCTGGTCTTGTTCAATCTCACAAAATAAAACTGGAGCCCTGCCACAGCACCTACTAGCATGGACCCCAGAACCCATGTGGAGACATGCTCACTTGTAGAGGGTACTACAGAGGTGCAAGGGTTTGTGCTAGCAGTTCCCAGTGCAGGAATGGGGTTGACATATGTTTTCCTTGTTTAATACGTGGGTGGAAGAACTCAAAAATACTTTGGGCCTCTAGAGAAAGGAAGGTTTGTGATTCACTAGGCAGCACATTTCCTCATGAATCAGCATTGAGTCAAAACTGCATGGTTGTTCCTGGTGGTTTTTTATTTTTCTCAATTTCCCCTCTCCCTCCACTTTTGGAAAATCCAATAAAGCCAGAGGATGCTTTGCTCCATATACACTCTTATAGAGAAACACTACACATACCACATAAAATTTTTTGACTAATGCCCAAGCTACACATCTACAATGCAAATGGGGGTATAATATTCAGCTCATCTAGACATACCTATGCTAGCTGTAAGCTAAGTAGATCACTAAAAAGAGCAATGAGGACACTGTGGTTCAGGCTTCATTATGCCAAGCAACACAAATATCTACCTGGGAGACCAGATGGCATTATACAGCCAGCATGGAAGCTCATGTCACTGTTATTTTTAGTTAACTAGCTAGATGAAAGATAGTATGGCCGGTATATCTACAAAAGCTACAAATTAAGCTTCTAGTTGGAAAATAGAGCTTGAAGCTGCTAACCAACTACATATTTGCACCATTGCTGAGTGAGTTCATAAAAAAAAAAAAAGAAAGCCATACTGGGTTACACCAAAAGTCCATCTAGCTCAGTATCCTGTCTGCCAACAGTGGCCAATACCCGATGCCCCAGAGGGAGTGATCACAACAGGTAATCCTCACGTGATCCCTCCCATTACCCACCAGCAAGGAGTTCCACAGGTTGACTGTATGCTGAGTGAAGAAAAACTTCCTTTTGTTTGTTTTAAAACTGCTGCCTATTAATTTCATTTGGTGATTCCTAGTTCTTATTTTGTGGGAATAAGTAAATAACATTTCCTTATTCACTTTTTCCATACCAGTCATGATTTTATATACCTCTATCATATCCCCCCTTAGTCTCCTCTTTTCTAAGCTGAAAAGTCCAAGTCTTTTTATCCTCTCTTCATATGGGACCCGTTCCAAATCCCTAATCATTTTTGTTGCCCTTTTCTGAACCTTTTCCAATGTAACATACTTTTTTTTAGATGAGGCGACCACATCTGTAGGCAGTATTCAAGATGTGGGCATACCATGGTTTTATAAAGAGGCAATAAGATATTTTCTGCCTTATTTTCTATCATCACTTTTTTAATGACTATTAACATTCTATTTGCTTTTTTGACAGCCGCTGGCTTATTAGGTGATGAGCTTTCATGGGCCATCTTGTTAGTCTTTAAAGTGCTGCATAGTCCTGTCTTTTGTTTAAGTAAAGTAAGTTATCATGGAATAAGAGGAAAGGTCCTTTCGTGGACTGATAACTGGTTAAAAGACAGGAAACAAAGGGTAGGAATAAATAGTAAGTTTTCAGAGTGGAGAGTGGGATAGGTTGCAAACCACAGTTAACAGTTCTGCAATTTCCCATTTGAGTTCTTTCAGAACTCTTGGGTGAATGCCATCTGATCCCGGTGATATGTTACTGTTAAGTTTATCAATTTGTTCCAAAACCTCCTCTAATGACACCTCAATCTGGGACAATTACTCAGATTTGTCACCTAAAAAGAATGGCTCAGGTTTGGGAATCTCCCTAATAACCTCAGCCATGAAGACTGAAGCAAATAATTCATTTAACTTCTCTGCTATGACTTTATCATCTTTGAGTGCTCCTTTAGCATCTCAGTTGTCCAAGGGCCTCACTGATTGTTTAGCCGGCTTCCTGCTTCTGATGTACTTAAACATTTTGCTATTACTTTTTGAGTTTTTGGCTAGCTGTTCTTCAAACTCCTTTTTGGATTTTCTTATTGTATTTTTACACTTAACTTGACGAAGTTCATGGTCCTTTCTGTTTTCCTCATTAAGATTTGTCTTCCACTTTTTAAAAGATATCTTTTTATCTGTCACTGCTTCTTTTACCTGGTTGGTAAGCCACAGTGGCACTTTTTTGGTTCTCTTACTGTGTTTTTTAATTTGGGGTATACATTTAAGTTGGGCCTCTATTATGGTGTCTTTGAAAAGTTTCCATGCAGCTTCTTGGAGCAGCTGGTTCTGGAACCCACAAGGGGAGAGGCAATTCTTGATTTAGTCCTAAGTGGAGAGCAGGATCTGGTTCAAGAGGTAAATATAATTGGACCGTTTGGAAATAGTGACCATAATGTAATAACATTTAACATCCCTGTGGTGGGAAAAATACCTCAGCAGCCCAACGCTAGCATTGAATTTTAGAAAAATGAGGAAGTTAGATTAAAACGCACAGTGACAAAAGTAAAAAAAGATTTTACTTTTGTCACTGTGCGTTTTAATCTAACTTCCTCATTTTTCTAAAATTCAATGCTAGCGTTGGGCTGCTGAGGTATTTTTCCCACCACAGGGATGTTAAATGTTATTACATTATGGTCACTATTTCCAAACGGTCCAATTATATTTACCTCTTGAACCAGATCCTGCTCTCCACTTAGGACTAAATCAAGAATTGCCTCTCCCCTTGTGGGTTCCAGAACCAGCTGCTCCAAGAAGCAGTCATTTAAGGTATCAAGAAATTTTATCTCTGTATCCCATCCTGAGGTGGTGTACACCCAGTCAATATGGGAATAGTTGAAATCCCCCACTATTATCAAGTTTTTTAATTTGATAGCCTCTCTAATCACCCTTAGCATTTCATAGTCACTATCACTCTTTTGATCAGGTGATTGATAATATATACGGAGTGCTATATTCTTATTATTGGAGCATGGAATTACTATCCATAGAGATTCTATGGAAAATTTTGGCTCATTTAAGATTTTTGCTTCATTTGATTCTACATTTTCTTTCATATAGAGTGCCACTCCCCCACCAGCACAACCTGTTCTGTCCTTCCGATATATTCTGTACTCACTGACTGTCCTCATTCCACCAAGTCTCCATGATGCCTAGTATATCAATATCCTCTTTTAGAACTAGGCACTCTAGTTCACCCATTTTACTATTTAGAATTCTAGTTGTGTATACCAGGTCCAAAAAGCAAACAAACAAGATTCTCTATCCAGTAAGTTAAAGGAACAGCTCTGCCAGAGAACTAATATAAGCAAAATCTGGTATATTCTACTCAGTAGGGCACACACACGTCTCTGTATACACAGACACACAGAGTCATACAGAACTACATAGCAGTGAAAATGTCCAAAAACAGACCCAAGTGGTAATACTTTAATATGTATTTCCAGTTGAACGAACCTCTCTACTCTGGGACACTGATCCAGTAGGACCACAAATGTTGTTGGACCTGAGAGCCCTGGTGACTGACAGTCGGGGCTGGCTGGGAGTCCAGTAGCAAGGAGTCCAACTGGGGCTGGGAGCAGAGCCAGGACAGGGGCTGAAAGCGGGGTCGGGCTGGCGGCTGGGAGCATGGCTGGGATCAGGAGCAGAGCCCCGTGGCCAGGGCTGACATCAGGGTAGGCAGCCAGGAGGGGAACCTGGTAGCTGGTAGTCAGGAGGAAGGCCCATCTGGGAGACTGGTGGCCCCCTAGGAGAGACCGGAGGCTGGCTGCAGAGGAACCAGCATTGACCTCTCCTGGTCCAGCAAACTCCTTTGTTCTGAACTGGTCAAGTCCCAAGATTCTGGATGAGGGAGACCCAACTGTATAAGTTAGCTGTGATAAGACAAATTGCACATGGTGGGAAGGACAAAAGATTTTAGCTGCCATTTCAAGCTGTTAAATCTACTTGTAAAAGGCAAGTTAGAAACTTAAAAGGACAAAACACGTGCTTTTTGCAACATGCTTGTAAAGCAATTATTAAATCTGTAATAACCTATGTCCTAGGAACCTTAAAGTAAATCTGGACTTCCAGGAAAGAATGGGAAAATTGGGCAATGAACAGTTTGGCTTATGAGGCATTCATAAGAAACAGCGATGGTCAAGGCAAAGTTAGAAAAATATTTGCATTTAAAAGGAATAATACAGCATCTTTCTCACAAGGAACAGAGGTAAGAACATGGACTAAATGATGCAGGCAAGTTACTTTCAACCATGTCACCTAAGTTTCGCTAAACGGAAGACAGATCCTAAGGATGAGATACAGCAGGAGATAATACAACAGATAAAGGAAAAACAATGGCAACAGCTGAATATTATGGACTCTATTATTGTGGAATTCTTAGCAGTTCCACTTTTCCTCCAGATTTCAGGGATCCTCTCCCATAGTGAGTCTCACCTTCCCATGTAACAATGCTACACACTGCCTCGGCTGTTGCAGTCACAAGTGCTCTGGTCACCTTAACTCCTCCCCACACATCTTCCCACTTCCTTTTACCTTCTGTCGCTGCTGAATATTGCTCATGGTGTCTGGCTGAAACTCCAACTTGTCTGTTCGGCAGAGCTTCCAGTATAAAATAATAATGATAAGCAGCACCACAGCCACGGGGACTACCACACCGACAATAATCCACAGATTGTTATTCTGAGAATCAGATGCCGACTCTTTCAATTTATCCACAGCTGCAGAGTTAGAAGGGGAAAGAGGAGAGAGACTAATTTTATATAAAAACAAAACAAAACAAACATTTGTAGACACTTCAGAGGGTATTCATTTCTACCCTCACAATTGTTAGTAAAGAACTACATTCATAGGCAGGGCTCGACAAATAGTGCGAGTAGATTGCAACCTGGAAAAGCCGGGTTCGGGCGATCTGAGCATGCACAGATCGCCGGATAGCGCGGCTGGTAAGCGGGGCTCGCCAAGGTTTGGCAAGCCCTGTTCATAGGAAACAGACTATGCAGTAGAGCAGGGGTGAGCAATAAACTGGAGGCGCTCAGCAAGGGTTGGCCTCTGGCAAGCCACTGGTGCTTTACTGACCTCGGTGTCTGCAGACACAGCTGCTTGCAGCTCCTGTTGGCTGTGCATCTCCATTCCAGATCAATCGGAACTGCAGGAAGTGGCACAGCCTGGGACACTGCTTCTAGCAGCTCTCATTGGCCAGGAAAGGCAACCACCGGCCTACAGGAGCGGTCATACTTGCAGGTGCACAGGTAAATAAAGCGCCGGCGGCTCACCAGGGCTAACCCTGGCGAATCACATCCAGCCAGTGGGAAGCTTATTGCCCACCCTTGCAGTACAGTCAAGGTGATAATGTATTACTTAATGTACCTCTTTGCCAGGTAATATGAGTGTAGAGCAAATGATCGTCTTAAACCCTACTTTCTGTTCTGGAGAGCTGTGCTAAAGTTGCAAACAAAAATGGGTTTCCGTCAGCCATTTGACATGATGAGTACTCTCTGTTCAGGAGGAACCATACATTGAGATGACACGGTGAAAACTATCAATCTCCTGCCCTACCAGCAACAACTGTGGGGGAGAACTTTTATATTCTTGCCTACAGAGGAAGGGTGTAGACTGATATAGTCAATATCCAATTTGGGGTAATGGTTAACCAGTGCCTGGGAGCACTCCCCAGAACGTGGCCCACCACAGGCGGAGGGCTGCTCCAGCCTCACTAGGCCAGAGTGCTTTGGGCTGGGGTGGGAACCAATAATCCAGCATGGGCTGGCAGAGCTAGCAGCAGCCCTGAATGGGGCTGGGAGCTGCTCCATCCGCCCTGGAGTGGCCCCTATGCCTGCTTCCCCTTTAATCAGTTAAAGCTAACATTTAATCAGTTAACCAATTAAATGGGATTTTACATCCCTATCATTTACAAAAACCAAGTTAAACAGTGCTTTCACATACATTATTACACCTACTCCTAAGTTCTACAGTCACATTTTCCCAATTTATTTACTAAATACTTTTCTTTCCCTTTAGGTGCAAACCGTTACAAAAAAAAGGGGATGGGGGGACTTATACAAGGAGCTACCAAGAAACCAACTATGCACAAAATAAACAAACTGGGAAAATACATTTTTCTTTCTTCAATTGCATTTGGATTAATTGTAGACGCTACTTGAAACAATACCAGGTGAAACATTTTCAGTTACAATATTAATTTCTGAAGGGGCACTTTCAAACTAAAAGTAATATTTGTGTGTGAATTTATTTTTGTGTATTATTCTTAAAGAAACATTCTTCCAGTTGATATACCTGGAAGAAATTAAAGGAAAATAATGATCACCATTTTCTCCTTTTGTTTACTTTCCACATTTAATGCCACTTGGAGTATAGTCAGTTTCATTGTTTCTTTTAGTATATTAAATTTCCCTTTGGTTTCTCTGGGCTTTTTGGCACCATCAGGAGAGATAAACACATAAAAATAACATATGTTTTCTATTAGCAATTTATGATTTTCCAACTATTTTAATTAATTCTTTGAACTGAAATTTAATTTAAAATGGCAAAATAAATGAGAAAAAATTAAAAACAGAGCTGAATTTGTACAGCCATTAGTATTTTCCCTGTGGGAGGGAAAACATCACAGCATCCGAAAGGGGAACTACACAAAGATGAGGAACTTATACAAAAATTAAAAGGTACAGTCCCAAAACTGAATTCCCTTCAAGTAGCATGGAAGCTTTTTAAGATACCACTAGCGGGCTGTGCCCCTTGCTCACTACACTTGCCAACACCCCTGCTTCTGGGGGTAGGAACCCGGCTCTCCCCCTGGCCACCAGGCAGGCAGAAACATTTTAAGCTCTGCAAGCCTTTAGCATGGCAGGCAGGCTGGCTGAGCTGCTGACTTGTAAGTCTCCTGGCCAGAACATGCCTCTGGCACCCCATCCCCAACCCTCTATTCCCCCACTCTTGCCCTGCTACTCCACATATCCCTTTTGTACCCATATCTCCCCCCAGATCTGGAACCCCAATCTCCTGCCCCAGATCAGAATCCCCTCCTAACCTAGGTCACATCCCAAAACGGTGCACTAGGAATGTGATCGACTAGTTGACTACCCGGATAAGCAAATGCTTCTGTACCAAATGACTGGAGGATAGCTAATGTGACACCAATTTATAAAAAGGGCTCCAGAGGTGATCCCAGCAATTTCAGGCCAGTAAGCCTGACTTCAGTACTGGGTAAAACGATTAAAAGAACAAAATGATCAGACATACAGATGAACATAGCTTGTTGGGGAAAAGTCAACATGGTTTTTGTAAAGGGAAATCATGCCTCGTCAATTCCATTCAATTCTTTGAGAGGGTCAACAAGCATGCGGACAAGGGGGATCCAGTCGATATAACGTATTTAGATTTTTCAGAAAACCTTTGAAAAGGTCCCCCAAAGGCTCTTAAGCAAAGTAAGCTGTCATGGGATAAGAAGGAAGGTCCTCTCATGGACTGGTAACTGGTTAAAACATAGGTGGAAATAAATGGCCAGTTTTTGGAATGGAAGAAGGTAAATAATAGTGTTCCCCAGGGGATACGTTCTGAGACCAGTCCTATTAAACAGATTCATAGAACACCTGGGGGAAAAAAGGGTAAAACAGTGAGGCGGTAAATTTGTAGAGAATACAAAACTATTCAAAATAGTTAAGTCCCAAGGAGACTGCGAAGAACCACAAAAATGGGTGACTGCAACAAAATGGCAAATGAAATTCAATGTTGATAAATGTAAAATAATGTGCATTGGAAAGCATAATCCCAACTATACATAATGATGTAGTTGTTACCCCTCAAAAAAGTAATCTTGCAGTCATTGTGGATAGTTCTCTGAAAGCATCCACTCAATATGTAACAGCAGTCAAAAAAGAAAACCGAACGTTGCTAACCATTAAGAAAGGGGTAGATAAGATAAAAGAAACTATTATATTGCTTCTATATAAATCCACAGTACACCCCAATCTTGAATACTGTGTGCAGATCTCAAAAAAGATATACTAGAATGGAAAAGGTTCACAAAAGGGCAACAAAAACAATTAGGGGTATGGAACAGCTGCCATCTGGCAAGAGAGTGATAAGATTTTTCAGCTTGAAAAAGAGATGACTAAAGAGAGATGATAGAGGTCTATAAAAACCATGACTGGTGTGGAGAAAGTGAATAAGGAAATATTATTTACTCCTCTAACACAAAAGTTAGGGGTCACCAAATGAAATTAATAAGCAGCAGGTTTAGAATAAACAAAAGTATTTTTAACCACAACACACCTGCGGAACTCCTTGCCAGAGGATATTGTAAAGCCTAAGACTATAAAAGTTAAAGAGCTAGATAAATTCATAGAGGAGAGGTCCATCAAGGACTATTAGCCAGGATGGGCAGGGATGGTTTGCCAGAAGCTCTGTTTGCCAGAAGCTGAGAATGGGCAATAGGATAGATCACTTGATGATGACCTGTTCTGTTCATTCCCTCTGAGGCAACTGGCACTGGCTACTGCTGGAAGATAGGCTCCCCTAGGGTTGCCAGATGATTTAATGAAAAATACCGAACTCTTCCCTTCTCCCTCCCCTCCCCCCCAAAAAAAAACACCAGGGAAAAAGTTCTGTTGAGAAAAAAAAAGGGGGACTCCGAAAGCTATTAAGCAAAGAAAAAAAATAATAAAACAGCATTAAAACAGCATGGCTCCTTTCAGAGTGCCTGAAGAGTCAGAATAGGGACAGGAACAGGGAAGAGGTTGAGCACTAAGACCCAGGGAATGCATTGCTTCCCCTTAGTCTTTAGGCTTTTTGCCAGCGGCCATTTTATTTTATTGATCAAGCCAAAATGCAGCTTCCTTGCAGAACCAAGTAAGCAGGGGATGCAGGGG